CCTGTACAGGTAAGCGTTAGCAATCAACCAATCAAATGTCTTGAGTAGCCTACACGTGTTGTGTACATATTGTGCCGTTAAAATAGTCCCATAGAAATAATGGTAGCTGGTAACACAAGACCTGGTGGTACTAATACACCAGTCAAATAACTCAATTAAAAAAACAACTAAATAAAAAAAACCTAAATGGTAGGCATATATCCTTTGCAGCCGTGCAGCCTCACGATATATTACGGTAGATTGTTAAAGAATGTAAGTGTAAAATGATGGATTAAGGCCTCACCAAAGGGTAATGTTCGATCAACACATCAGTAAAATTGTGTTTTTGTGTGAATTCCATTTTTTACAGATGTAGGTCGGAGACACGAGGTACGAAATGTTGACAGATTCCGGTCGCCTGGTTAGTTCTGATAGGTACATTTTGAGGCTGAACCGTGTCATGTTGTAGAACCGTATACACAGAGACGCGATATGAAAGCAGTTGTGAAGAATAATGATGGTAGATTTGCTAATGCCAGACATTAGTGTTGTCAGGTTGGTGAAATATGTTCCGAATGAATATGTACAAGGGCTTACCTGAGTTAAGGCTGAGAATGTTCCTTGGAAATGTAGCATAGTCATTTCCAATCACAGACGTATTTACATATGAATATAACGTCAGTGCAAAATCACCCAGTTTTGACTATTCTCAGAAACAGACTATATATGGTGTCATGGAAAAGGTAGCTGTGATGCAAATATGAAATCAGTGATGACACCACGGTTTCGCCAGAAGGGGCAGGGTAACCCCTTACTTGTGAACCATATAGTAATATCGGTAAAACACATGTGTCATATGATTCAAGATGACAAGTAATGGACAAATTATAAAGTCTGCCCTATTGTGCATAGCGTTCAGTTTCGCAATGCGCCTTTCTGGTGTGCACAACGTGGCATGTTTTTCTGAAGATATAGTTCTCAGGTATTTGTACGTTCCAGCTTCCTCATTGGATACACTGTTTAGTAAAAACACCGTCTTGAAATTCGTTACTTGTCGCTAAAGATAAGAACTATGGTTTTATTGATATTTATCGTAAATTCCTAATATTTGCAGTTATTGTAGAAAGTATCAATTTGTGTTTGTGTTACGCACCAAAATGAGACTATATCGGCTGCGAATAGCAGTGGCAGCCATTTCAGAGACGTTACGTTGAACAGCTGTGTATCTTCCTCGTTGAACAATTTGAAGAGACGTTTCGTTGAACAACTGTGTATCTTCCTCGCTGAACACAATGCACTTTCAGGTAATAATTAACATTATTTAAAACTAATGAGAACACTGAAGGTGTCAACTTCTCTCCTTATCGAACCCCTTTGCTTCAATGAAAATAAGAATTATAAGAGTCGTTTCTTGATATTCAATCAATCAATCAAAGCTTTATTTCGGTACAAAGGCCATCGGGCCCATATACAGACAGTTTCATGCATACAATACAGTTTACATATATGTATACACGCCCATCCGCATACATGTATACAGGTAATCTGAACATACATAAAGTAGATAAAGGTATGATATGATAATACAAAAGTATAATATCATGATATTTATCATTCTACTAATAGCTTACATCTTCGTTCATAAGAATACATTATATATAGGCTGAACATTTTCAAACTGTGTACGTTATTTGTTAAGTAGTTTCTTAAAGTTATACATATTCGTTTCGAAGTCACTTGGTAAATATTTACGACAAAAGTCATCATATCTAGGTCAAATGAAAGTAAAATGATATTCATGAACGTATATTGTTTTGCGTAGTATCAATTATTCTAAAAGAATAATTTTAAATTTCAACAAATATGTAAGAAAAAATACCTTTAGTCTGAAACAAAATTAAATAAACGCTACTCGCTTACATGGTAGCGGTGTTATACCCAGTGTCAGTCCTTGATATCTGCTCGCTCGACAGTACAGCTAACAGGAGGCACATGGTATACGTCAGCTAATGGACGCCCTCTACAAAAATGGTGGAAAAGAAAAAAGTCCAATCAATTACCTCTCCGCCTACACGAGTGTTTCAAGTATTCTGGCTCGACGCCTACAGTCACTATTTTACGTGTAAGACATAGTTTTACCAGCTTGAGTTACTCGTAGTACAACGTGTGACATAATAACACCATCCCCAAGCGTAGCTGACGTGGATCTACGAGTCTCTCACATATCGACGTGTTAAAAGTATGTTACACAAGTCATTAAAATCAGCGATATATAATGTATGTAAATATTTAAATACGTCTTGTTTTGGGTTGTTAGATTTCATATACAGTTTAAAATCCTACATTCAAACACGTTTTTTCAGGAAATCACACTCATTCAAGACATTTGACTCTAAGCTGCAAGTTTGGAATACATTTCTACAGTTACAATTCCAATGGGCGATAATTGGTGACAGACCCAACTCTTACCGACGATGTATTACTATAAAGACCCGCACTATTCTACATTGTATTACTAAATAGACCCGTGGCACATATTGTAGAAATGGTAGGACATTTGGATGGAGATGTACGGTCGTCAACGCTGACCAGTGGTGTTCTCCTGCCCACTAATCCCTCCTACACCTGAACAGACGGCACCAAATCCTGCACGAAACACGCGGACGTTCGTTGTCCAGTAAACATGTTGACCATTAGCTCTGAACAGAAAGAAGCCGGTATATATGATGTAGATGACCGTCTGCCAGGCACGACGCTGCCAACAATGTACAGTCCGGGCTCATCACGACGACGATGTTAAAACACTCTACAGTACTGTATAAAACTCTTCTGTGTCATAACTCTGGAACACTTTGTTGCACTACTCTATGCTGTATAACCCTCTTCTACGCGGTATAACATTCTTCTACGCGGTATAACCCTCTTCTACGGCGGTATAACCCTTTTCTACACGGTATAACCTTCTACGCGGTATAACCCTCTTCTATGGCGGTATAACACTCTTCTAGACAGTATAACACTCTTCTACTCCGTACCACCATCGTCTACGCGGTATATCCATCGTCTACGCGGTATGACACTCTTTTCTACGCTGTATAACACCCTTGTACGCGGTATAACAACGCTCTTCTACGCGGTATAACCCTCTTCTACTCGGTATAACCCTCTTCTACGCGGTATAACCCTCTTCTAAGTGGTATAACCCTCGTCTACTCGGTATAACCCACTTCTACGCGACACTCTGTAACGCTATGGAATACTTGTTCGCTGTATTACACGCATAGCGAGTGTTCCCCCTTAAACCTGTCAGTGCTGCCAACATTTACTTACAATGGTTGTGGTGATGGGGAGGTCTTGACTGATGGTGTACATTCAGGGCGTGTTCGATTAGATGTTACTGACTGACGGAATGGCGGAGATTCCGGGACCGCCGGCTGCGAGGGGATCATCTTCAGTGTTACGTGAAGAAGATTACTCCACCGGCTGACCTCTGTACGTGTGGGCTCTTGCAGACACCATGCATCCAGCGTTATAAAACGAATAAATCACAGAGTCCAATATATTATTGTGCATATTTGTTATAAACAAAGTCCTTTGAAGGGGGATTCATTTTAATATCCGCACCACTCACCTTCTCAGGGTGCCATTATTATTATGTCTACGACAACTCTCATCACAATTCATCGGTAATTTTAAATGTCTTTAATACCATTATGCAAATAACATTGGCGCCATAGGTTGAAGCCGTTATATCATTCCGATTTAACCTAATACTGACGACACGGTGGGGAATAATTAGGACAGATAGTCACCGGGATAGACAGAAAGAGGGAGTTCAGGTAAAAAAACGGAGCGATAAAAAGAAAACTCCTGGAGCACCGGAATAGCGGTGACAAAGTCCTGGGATTCGAACCTACTAGCGAAGGTTTCTGTCCGCCTAAAGGTGCTGGGATGTCCTTTCAACAACTCGTATCATGTTCAGAATCGAGGGTTAGTTAAAGCGTTCGCTCCTCACACCGAAGACCCGGGTTCGATTCTGGTCATGGGTACAGAATGTGAAAAGCAATTCTGGTGTTCACCATTAGATTAAGAGGCGTGGGAAATCAATAATAATCATCATTATCACACAGGAAGATGGGGACCATTAACGATGGAAACTCTACATGGCACCAATATTTATATGTCCCCATTCTTCAATTCTGACGTATCGGGTGGTCAGGCTCGCTAACTTGGTTGACACATGTCATCGGTTCCCAAGAGATCGATGCTCATGCTGTTGATCACTGGATTGTCTGGTCCAGACTAGATTATTTACAGACTGCCGTCATATAGCTGGAATATTGCTCAGCGCGGCGTAAAACTAAACGCACTCACTCACTCCATTCTGACGTTTATTTGCCCAACCCCTTTGCCAGGAAACAAGTGTCAGTTACGATGGAGAACTCTTGCAAATTAGGGAAATATACATCGAGCATAATTGCTTATGTTTAGAAAACATCTACAGCTATCTATAACACGTGCGTTGAAGCACCAAGCCCTTTGAGGCACGTCTGGAAGTTTCTATCATGATGTTAATAAGTTCAAGTCATCAATATTTGCATGATACAAATTACACCTGCGAAGAGCGATCGAGTACATTTTAGACGGTGGATTCGTTACCACCATGCTGGAGATCTATTTCGTCATGAAAGGGATTCAGAGATATATCCTGATTTCAAGATAAACACATTTTCATTAAATCTTCAATCGGTTATCCGGCAAATTTGTTTTTTCATCTCTGTTTTAATCGACATAACTGATTTTTCTTGCATAGCATTTTCAGAACTTAAATTCATTTTGTAATATAGGTAGCTAACGTGAATAATGCCTCTTTGGAGGAAATGAGGTCAGGAAATATAGCACAAGAAGTAATATTATGCTGCGTAAAGTGTTCCAACGTAATTATTTTAAGCGTGTATTCATTGGCCTGTACCGTGAGCCCGACTCGTCGTCTGCTGCAGACAAGATTTCGCGCGTTTTGAACGTGCCGACGTAACACGAGTTGTTCGCTCGTGCGTTCACGTGCGGCAGAAGACAAGAGCAGAGGTTGGCTGGATGAGAGGGTATCACCAATTTACTCGGCCACGCGCAGCTTCATAAATAGCCGTGGCGAGAACATGCCAGGCTGGAGAAGAGGTCTGTTGCACCACAACGAAGTGCTTCCATCTGGGTATATCACTGCGCTACCTCTGACAGAGATATGAACATTTCCATCAGTGTAATAGAGCTCACTGACCCTCGATACACCCTCACCTGTGATGTGATGAATGTCAGCGCTGGGATAACCTACACCTGTGTGCACCTGTAGACAGACTTACCTGGATATTTACCTGTTCAATCCACAACTTGGATTACATGTAAATGTGGTGTTGGAAGATTGTGTGCTAAGTATTATATTATAATAACATTTGTTGATTTAACATAATCACTAGAACAGTGATGAGTTATTTTACGTTACACCTGAATTAACGTTACACCTGAATTTAACGTTACACCTGAAACTGTTGTCACCTGTGGAACCAGTGTGAGGGCACACCCAGATGTCAATACTCTCCATGTGACGACGGAGTGTTCACACACAGTGGTAGAGAGGTACATACAAGTCTTCCGTCTGACACAGGATGAGTGCGGCCAGCGGGATGTCGGAGCCGACCACGGTGAGCACGGGCTCCACCCTCAGACCCTACCTCAGGAGGAAGAAGTCGTCCCTTGGGGAGACCAAGGTGGCTGTCCTGGGCATGGAGGGGGTCGGGAAGAGCGGTGAGTACGTCGGTAGGGGTGCGGGAGATGAACGTGTCGGCTGGAGCCTGTCGTTGAAAGACGTCGGTGTCGTCACATGTGATAGAGACATCACGTAACTAACAGAATTTCAGAAAAGCTCACAGTCAGGGGTATACTATGCGAGTTGAAGGACCACTCCTGTGTCAGTAGGGCTCGTAGGGACTTAAATGTATCTAGTGTTATCAGGTTTGTTAGTAGTGAATAGTGCATGTTGGGTTTCGTCAGGGTTTGCTCATTGTTCCACACTTCTTCATAGCCTTTTATTTTTATTCTCTTCCGTTTCATTTTAACTAAACTATTGTTATTTTGCTTATTTCGGGTATTTTATGTATAATGTCCTGAACGTAACAGCAAAATATATCGATAGCGATTTTTGCAAGGGGATACTATTTCACGCTTTCTATCAGATTTCCGTTTTTGTATTTGCAAAGGTTGTTATTACATCATGAGTTTAATTTCCCCGTGTTGTGGTGTTTTCCCCTTGACTACAACAATATGTCTCGTGTCGGGCGGCGAGTTGCAGGAGAAGTATATGTCAGGGTAAAGGTAGTGACTATTGGAAACACATGTCCCCCATGGAGAACACAATATATCACACAAATCCTAGCTGGCGGATGTAGTCGACTGGTTTAATGTACGTGTTGTAACAGTGTCCGGCCAGCTGCCGTTAAACAACGTTATTCCATGCCTCGTGCGTGCCAGGCGGTATATCGGAGATGCCGCACACAGACGCGTTCATTTCCTCATTGCCCTGTTTTTTTAATTACGTAAATTGTTGATTTGTGCGACTGTGTAAACAGGAATACAGTTATAAATAATTCTAAATATTTGTTTCGGGTTGCCCGAGTGTCGCGGGTCATTGCACTGCTTTCTTTAACACCCCTTTCTTTAACACCCCACGGACACCATGGTGTTTATACCTGTAGTTACAGACCCTTCGTGTTAGGAAATGATAGACAGTTTCACCCTTGGCTCGTCAATATGAAGCTCTGATTGACAGATGAAATATTAAGAAACAATGGGGTCGGGAAATCCAGGTTCGTGCAAACATCTAAATAGACTTCCAAATAAATATATATTTCTGCTGGTGGTATCTCTAGAAATACACCGGGTGATACCTTGACTTCATAACCTCGATATTGGATATGCACCCATCACAGTGCTGTGGTTCAGTTGTCTGTCATCTATAACCAGGCTGTATTGTATGCCCCTGCCACCCAGCTTCTACCTCCAGTATGTGGAAGGAAGGCTGAAGCTGTGCAGGGATGCAAGGCGCGCGTGTATTTAACATGAACCATATTGACAGGCAGGCTGTTCCCGATATATACACGTGTGCTATAGGTTAGACTCCTGACTCAGCGCGCACACGTGCACAGCACACATCACCACACCAGGGAGACGGTAGACGTCGGTAGACATGGCGGGTCAGCCTGCCATTCAGCCCAACCTCACTTCACAAACGTGACAAGCATTGTTCCCCAAAGTTAGACGCATAATGTCTTTTTCTTTTGTCTACCATGTCTTCAAAGGAGTTAACCTTATATTTTTGGTGGAGGGTGACAAAAGTATCTTTTTCAAATTGTGCATGTATTTTCTGGAACAGAATAGTTTTTTTCAGACACTCCCCCGATCGTTCCTCGTCTCTTCATTCATTGCGAGTTTTCACAACAGAGAGTTCTGTCTCACACGTGGTGGCAGAGCTACCCGGCCAAGTCAGAAATACACTTATAACAAGTACTCCTCTTGAAGATTGAGTTCGTGCTGGACTAGATCCGAAGAACTATGTATCCAGGAGGGTGAATCTTACATTTTCGATAAATTTTATATTATTGTGTATCACACTATACTATTTCAGGAAAAAGTTTTTTCGACAGATATGAAAGTAATAATTTAAAATATGTTAGTGTGTACATGTTTGCGTATTGAGTCAGGTAAAGGTATGAGACAGAGAAGACAATTTCTATAATTACAATATCTGTATTACACATATCCTGAGTAGCTTCATGGTTAAAGTGTTTGCCGAAGACGTAGGTTCGATTCTCCACATGCGCACGATGTGTGAAGCCAGTTCACGGTGTCCCCCGTCGTTATATGCCTGGATTATTGCTAAGAGCGGAACAACAAACGCACTCACTAACAGGAAATTCCTTGCTGGCAGATATTAAAAGCGCCAATGAACTTGCCAGTTCTATCGCCACGGTGCCATTTTACACTGGACTGGCTACAGGTGTGTACCTGTGTATCAGTCCAGAACAGGTACACCGGCCTCTGATGAGATGTACAGGTGTCTTTGAAGCCGATTCTCTTCTTGATGGCCGGACATAAAACTCGCAACGCCACACGCCACCATGGTCTGGTTTGAAAGTAAATCTTTATTAGCAGAAGTATACTGCAAAGCGACCATAAAACATACAACTCATCTTTCAAAAGATTATTCGTTCTGCCGAACTGTGTATCATACCGTGCTATAGTTGGTAACTGAAGTTTGCTTTCAATGCATGCATATTTACTATGTAAGTATAGCACTATCACTGGTTCACTGTTACGGTCAGTTTTATATGTAACTGCGTTCTTACGTATTGATTATTAATTTTACACATTTTAATCAAAATTTAAAGATGGGAAACGCTATATGTCTAATCGACGTGTTGTGGAATAATGAGAAACCCCATGTAAAATAAGATGAATTCTACCATCGTTACAAAACCTGGAAACAATGTTGCTCATCCCCCCAACACCCTTCTTCTGTACCCCTGAGGGAGGTATGCACCCCCAAACACCCTTCTTCTGTACCCCTGAGGGAGGTATGCACCCACCCCACCCCACACACCCTTCTGTACCCCTGAGGGAGGTATGCACCCCAAACACCCTCCTTCTGTACCCCTGAGGGAGGTATGCACCCACCCCACCCCACACACCCTTCTTCTGTACCCCTGAGGGAGGTATGGACCCCCAAACACCCTCCTTCTGTACCCCTGAGGGAGGTATGCACCCCCAAACACCCTTCTGTACCCCTGAGGGAGGTATGCACCCCCAAACACCCTTCTGTACCCCTGAGGGAGGTATGGACCCCCAAACACCCTTCTGTACCCCTGAGGGAGGTATGGACCCCCAAACACCCTTCTGTACCCCTGAGGGAGGTATGCACCCCCAAACACCCTTCTGTACCCCTGAGGGAGGGATGCACCCCCAAACACCCTTCTGTACCCCTGAGGGAGGTATAAGCGTTCAACGTAGGCCCTGTCCTACCCGGGCACATAATTACACTATCTATATAATTTCATTGCTATCAGTACCAGCCAGGCTAAAACGTTTATGACGAGTAAGAGATATTGGTATATATTTTTCACGGGAAGCGTTAATCAACATACAGAGATATCTGCCACTGAACTGCATTGTCCCTTTCTCTTCTCTCTCCCAGTGCATTACCCAGGTACAGCGTCCACATGAGCTTATTCACAAACCAGTGCATTACCCAGGTACTACTGCCACATGGGCTTACTCACAAACAAGTGCATTACCCAGGTACAACTTCCACATGGGCTTACTCACAAACAAGTGCATTACCCAGGTACAACTTCCACATGGGCTTACTCACAAACCAGTGCATTACCCAAGTACAACTTCCACATGGGCTTACTCACAAGCAAGTGCATTACCCAGGTACAACTTCCACATGAGCTTACTCACAAACCAGTGCATTACCCAGGTACAACTTCCACATGGGCTTACTTACAAACCAGTGCATTACCCAGGTACAACTTCCACATGGGCTTACTCACAAACCAGTGCATTACCCAGGTACAACTTCCACATGGGCTTACTCACAAGCAAGTGCATTACCCAGGTACAACTTCCACATGGGCTTACTCAAACACCAGTGCATTACCCAGGTACAACTTCCACATGGGCTTACTCACAAACAAGTGCATTACCCAGGTACAACTTCCACATGGGCTTACTCACAAACAAGTGCATTACCCAGGTACAACTTCCACATGAGCTTACTCACAAACAAGTGCATTACCCAGGTACAACTTCCACATGGGCTTACTCACAAACAAGTGCATTACCCAGGTACAACTTCCACATGGGCTTACTCACAAACAAGTGCATTACCCAGGTACAACTTCCACATGGGCTTACTCACAAACCAGTGCATTACCCAAGTACAACTTCCACATGGGCTTGCTCACAAGCAAGTGCATTACCCAGGTACAACTTCCACATGGGCTTACTCACAAACCAGTGCATTACCCAGGTACAACTTCCACATGGGCTTACTCACAAGCAAGTGCATTACCCAGGTACAACTTCCACATGGGCTTACTCACAAGCCAGTGCATTACCCAGGTACAACTTCCACATGGGCTTACTCACAAACCAGTGCATTATCCAGGTACAACTTCCACATGGCTGACTGACTGACTGAGTTTGGTTTTACGCCGCTTTTAGCAATATTCCAGCAATATCACGGCGGGGGAACACCAGAAATGGGCTTTACACATTGTACCCATGTGGGGATTCGAACCCGGGTCTTCGGCGTGACGAGCCAACGCTTTAACCACTAGGCTACCCCACCGCCCCACTTCAACATGGGCTTACTCACAAACAAGTGCATTACCCCCAGGTACAACTTCAACATGGGCTTACTCACAAACAAGTGCATTACCCAGGTACAACTTTCACATGGGCTTACTCACAAACCAGTGCATTACCCAGGTACAACTTCCACATGAGCTTACTCACAAAGCCAGTGTAATACCCCGGGTACATCATTCATATGGACTTGCTCACAAACAAGTGTTTTAGCCCGGGTACAACTTTCACAAGGGCTTACTCACAAACCAGTGTAATACCACGAAGATGATGATTTGGACTGATTTATATTGTCGTGAAGGTTGTCCTTGCTTAAAATCTCAACTCTGGCTGCAATAGGCTAAAGCATGTCCTTGCCAAAGCGTTGGTTTAGTCTTCGT